TATATATATATATATATATATATATTTTATTATTAGTGACAATCAATACAATTCAAATAGAATAAAATCAATAGAAATATTTAAAAGTATTAAGTTAAACTATACTTTAAATCAAACTAAATTATTTGAAATGAATTGAACTACTTTTTTTAATGATAAATATATTAAAAAAAATTTAACTACATTTTTAAAACTTTTTTTTTTATTATAAAATTTGAGGTTTTTTTAGTTAAATTTAATTTGGTTCAACTTTTAAATAGTTGAATTCAATTTTCATAAAAATAGTTCGAGTTTTATAATTTAGTTTAGTTAATTTTTTTCATATACACTTGATAATTATTATAATTTATAAAAAGACCGAAATACTTCGTACCTCTAATAATTACAAACAAATAAATATTAAAATTATAAATAATTCTTTAAAAAATATAAAAGAAGTTTTTTCTTTGTTTTTTTTTTTTTTTTTTTTACATTTTAAAAGGTATAACAGTTCACTTAAAAAATGAAGGCTAAAGATTGAAACAAAAATCATTATATAAGAAGTTAGAACTTTCTACTAATTATTATGACAAACCTTGTTGGAGATTACTTTAAGTCACTTAAAAATAAAATCCGTAAAATATGCTTAAAAATAAACATATTTTTAGTCTCATCCTTGACAACAAAAACGACGACGTGCTTGATCGGTGCAAGACGTTATCGTCTTGCTAGGGGTTTTACTGCAATCTCAGCGAACCGAAACAGGTTTAAGGTTTCCATTTCTCACACTCCGTTATGCATACTCAACCAAAAGTTTCATTCAACCATGCCCTCACCACCTCGTTCTCTGTAGTGTAGCCTTGTTTCTCATCCATGGACATTTTCAACACCTTCCCAATCCCCACTTTCTGCAACCCCAAAACCCTCACCTCAAAATTCCCCCCAAACCGCAAAAAACCCACATCCCCATTTCACAGAACCCCGTTTCCACTCCACCTTTCACGCTCCTCCGCCATAAAGTTTCAAACTTGGGCGCATTCTGGCCGACCCACCAACCGCCGCAATTCTCTGAGGAAAAAGCTCCTCCGTGATCACAAGGTACGCCCCAATCAGAATCCCAACGACCCTTTTTCTGTTTCCGGTAACGGCGTTGAAGAGAGTGGGGCTGGTGTTCAGGGGGTTTCCGTTGTTGACAATGCGATCGAAATTGAAAAACCAAAATCTAAGCTTTTGAGTGAGTCTGTTTTGTGGAATAAGTTGGAGAATTGGGTTGAGCAGTACAAGAAAGATATTGAGTTTTGGGGTGTAGGGTCTGGTCCTGTGTTCACTGTTTTTCAGGATTCCTTTGGAGGTGTCAAGAGGGTCTTTGTTGATGAAGAGGAGATTCTGAAGAGAAACAGGGTTAGGAAGGATGTGATTGGGGACTTCCCTGAAGTGAGAAATAAAATTCTCAAGGCTAACAACATGGCTAGGGAGATGGAGAGTGGGAATAGTGTGATTGCAAGGAATAGTTCTGTGGCTAAGTTTGTTGCCGAAGGTGAGAAGGAGGGTGGTTTTGTTAAGGCTGTTCGAGGTTTCGTTGCTCAACCAAGGTTGCTTCCGAGGCTCTCGGGGGTTGGGAGGAAAGTGTTGTATGTGTTGGTTGTTGTGTGGGCAGTGAAGAAGTTATTTGCTTTTCGAGAAGGAGATAAGGAGGTGGAGTATACAGAAACAGAGAAGGAAATGATGAGGAGGAAGATAAAGGCAAGAAAGGAGAAAGAGAAGTTGGTGAAGGGCGCTGTTGAAGTTGTTTCTAAACCTTCGGAGACACTGGCGGTGGACATTAAAAAGCCTAATTTAGATAAGGAACAACTTAGGGATAGTATTCTGAAAGCCAAGACTTCTGTTGATAAAATGGTAGTGCATGATTCGTCTGATAAAGTGCAAACTAGATCCACAGAGATGGATTATAAAGTTCAAGAAATAAGAGAAATGGCTAGGCGGGCACGAAAAATTGAGGGAAGAGATCATGTTCTAGCTAACAAGGACAAAATTGAGGGAGGAGATCATGTTCTAGCTAGAAGGGACATGGAAATGGATGATCCTGTGGTTGAGAAACCGTCTGATGATAATAAAGTCACAAAATCAAAGAGTGAACGAGATGACAGTTTAAGTAATCATCAAAAGGAAGTTGCTAGGGAAACAGCCAATAGTAAGGCCATTATGCAATCAACTTCTGTTGATGTGCCAGAGAACATTGATAATTCAGTCCTGCGTGAGGTAGTTCCTGCAAATAAAGGGAATTTATATGCTTCGGATCCCATAGTTCCTGGTGACAGGGAAATCAAGAAAAAGGAAATAGAATTTACTGAAAATGATGTGCACCTGAAGGACAGAGAAAACGACAAGCTCTCAGATTCTTCTATTAATGGCTCATCTGTGCCAAATGAAAGTTCTGCAAAGAAGCCCAGGATCATACGGTCTGTTAAAGAAGCTAGGAATTATCTTTCGAAAAAACATGACAAACAACATCCTGGCACTGGCACAGAATATAAAAGTGAACTCACGAAAGATAAGATTGCTGATTTGAAGTCTTCAAGTGTTATTGATTTTAATGACCAGAAGTGCCAGAAGTTGGAGAAGAATACAACTGTGTCTAAAAATGACACATTAAACGAAATATTGGATTCTGTGCCTCTCATAAATGCTAGTCAAGATTCTAATCAGAAGGATAAGGAACTAAGCCCTATAAATAATGACCACATCAAAGATTCGGTTATTGAACCTAGATTGGAAGACCTTCAAAAGTATGAGACCATTTTAGACCATGAAGTTAGTGACATTGCTCCAGAGACAAGGCTATCTGTAAGGCCAGAAAATTGGCTGGAGAAAAACCTCAACAAAGTTGAACCCATAATCGAGCAAAGTAGAAGTGAGGCTTTAGATGGATTATCAGATTCTAAGCCTGCCACAAATCCTGGTGAAGATTCTAATCAAAAGGATATGGAATCAAGCCCTACAAAGGATGACTATTTCAAAGACTCTGGTGCTAAACCTGGCATAGGAAACCTTGATAAGTCTGAGCCCAATTTATACCCTAAAGTTAATGGCATTGCTACAGAGACAATGCTGCCTGTAAAGCCAGAAAATTGGCCGGACAAAAACCTCCTTGAAGTTGAGCCCATAGTTGAGCAAATAAGTAATGATGCTTTAAATGGATTATCAGATTCTAAGCCTGCCACAAATCCTAGTGAAGATTCTGATCAGAAGAATAAGGAATTTGGCTCAACAAAGCATGACTACCTCAAAGACACTGGCGTTAAACCTGAAATAAGAAACCATCAAAAGTCAGGCGCTACTTTGGACGGTGAAGTTAAGGGCATTAATACAGGGACCACAGAGTCTGGAAAGACAGAGAATTGGCTGGAGAAAAACTTCCATGAAGTTGAACCCATAGTTAAGCAAATTAGAGAAGGATTTAGAAATAACTACATGGCTGCAAAAGAGAGAGTTAATCAACCTTTAGATATACCCACCGAGATGGAATCACTTGGAGTTGTTGAAGATGGTGGGGAATTTGACTGGATGCAGGATGATCATCTTAGAGATATTGTCTTTCGAGTCCGTGATAATGAACTGTCGGGACGGGACCCATTTTATTTGATGAATGACGAAGATAAGGAAGCATTTTTCAGAGGTCTTGAGAAAAAAGTGGAGAAAGAAAATAAAAATCTTTCTTATGTTCATGAATGGCTCCATTCAAATATTGAAAATCTGGATTACGGAGAAGGTTTGTAGTTACCTGTTTCGAAAATTATATGATATAGAGAATTTGATCAACTTTTAATTTCTTGAAATGATTTTAGCTACTTCTTTTGTAGGATTAACATGTTCCTGGAAATTCTTAAAATATATTAGCAAGCATATTATCCTGAATAAATTTAAACATGATGCTAATAGTTGTCTTTAATTCCTCTAGATGGCATCAGTATATATGATCCACCAGAGAAAATCATACCACGATGGAAAGGGCCTCCTGTGGAGAAAGTTCCCGAGTTTCTAAATGAATTCCTTGATGAAAGAAAGACTAGTTCCACTAAAAATATGAACCCGGTGAAGAAGGATGAGAGTGCCTTTGCTAAAAAATCAGTTGATCCCTCCTCTTTACATAAAAAGGTTAGTGGCTCTACAGCACCTATCAAGAAGATGAAAAATCCAAAGACTGTTATTGAAGGAAGTGATGGTTCTGTTAAAGTTGGCAAAAAATCAGGGAAGGAATATTGGCAACACACAAAGAAATGGTCCCAAGGTTTTTTGGACTCTTACAATGCTGAGACAGACCCAGAGATAAAGTCCGTAATGAAGGATATGGGGAAGGATTTAGATCGCTGGATCACTGAAAAAGAAATAGGGGAAGCAGCTGATCTAATGGACAAACTACCTGATAAGAACAGGAGTTTCATGGAAAAGAAACTCAACAAGATTAAAAGAGAGATGGAGTTGTTTGGACCACAAGCAGTGGTTAGCAAATATCGTGAATATGCAGATAACGAAGAGGAAGATTACTTGTGGTGGTTAGATCTTTCACATGTACTGGTATGTGTGTGTATATTGTTCTTATTTTCCACTATTTCACTAGCAAACATGAAATTAAAGATGAAATATCAGTGTTGTGTACTTGACTGATAGATAATTCTGCTGGATCAAAGCTACTTAAAATCTCTGTACTTTTCAAATTTTCTTCTCTGAATGTTATTGGTTTGATTTGTTTTTATTTCAACTGATACCGAGTTAATTTGTTTATTTTCTGTTAGTGCATTGAAATGTACACAGTTGAGGATGGAGAGCAGAGAGTAGGACTTTATTCATTGGAGATGGCTACAGATCTTGAATTGGAACCAAAGCCATATCATGTAATTGCTTTTCAAGATCCTGGTGACTGCAAAAATCTTTGTTACATAATTCAGGCTCATATGGAAATGCTGGGAAATGGCCACGCCTTTGTTGTTGCACGGCCTCCTAAGGTATTTGTGTGCTCTCAACAATGCTATTGGTTTCATAGATTACTTTAGAAAGTTATAGTGTATTTGTTTGATAAATTATTGTAGAGGTTTGACAGATATAGGTTTAGTTCTCTTTATGATTTTGGTTAATTGTCTTGTGTCACAAGCGGTATTACTGGGACACTAACATGTAACCATGCTCTTCGATTTTTTTCTTTTGAGGGGAAGGATTCTGCTAGGACATTTTCTTTTTTTTTTGGGGGGGAATTATTCCTAAAGCTTTGGTTTTTAACTGAGTCAAATGGTGTCACGTCACGTGATTCATGTAGCCTAGCTGAATTAGGCTGGGTTTTTGTTGTCTTTAGGGGTAATTATATGAATGTTTTCTGAACTCTTATTGCATGCCATAGGATGCTTTTCGAGAAGCTAAAGCAAACGGGTTTGGTGTTACGGTCATCAAGAAAGGTGAACTTCAGCTCAATATAGACCAACCACTAGAAGAAGTGGAGGAACAGATTACAGAGATTGGCAGCAAAATGTATCATGATATGATGATGAAGGAGCAATCTGTGGATATAAATTCATTAATGAAAGGTGCATTTGGTTTTAGTGACCGCTCCATCAAGAGGTAATTCGTTGCTTTGTAGTTTCTTAATTCAGCAGAGATATAGAATACACAACATGCAAGTTTATACTTGTCAATTTTTCATCAGTGTGTGAACTGTATTTACTATTTAGTGATTTCATTTGTCTTTAAAGGTTAAAGCGGAAGTTGAAGAAACCCAAAAAGGGGTGATGGCTATGAAACTGTCAACAATGTGATCAGTTGAAAAAAAATGAAAAGTTCTCTAGCCCAAACATTGAACACGAGCGCATGAATACTTTTCACAAACGCAAGGGATTTTTCTTGCTTCCAGAACTTGTGTTGTTGACCAGATTTTTTTAGATTCACTAGATGGAAGAGAACATGTTATCAGAAGTTTGTAAGGTTGAAGAAAATGACGTCATGTCTGCATGGTAGCATGTGGTATTCTTCTTTGTATATAGCTGAGAAACATATAGTTATCAACTTATTATCATATTAGAGCTCCACGTAGGCTACTGCTGAGAATCAAATTTTCTCCACGTTTAAAAAAAGTAAGAAGTGGGGGCTTTTTATTTTTTAATCCGTAGGATTTTGCTTGTTTGCGGTTCCATGGCATTAAAGATGTTTCTATTGATATGTAAAAGAGAAACCATTTTGCAATAACTCTTTCGATGTGGATCAATCTGACTGCGTACCCTTTTCGAAATAGATGTTGTGGTAATTTAGAATAAAGTTTAGCACAATTAGTTGATCAGGGTGTGTAGATTGTAAAAATTTGAGACCATGTTCGACTTTAATGGATAAAGAAAAGGAAAGAAAAAAGATGGACTTCTAATAAATCTGAGGTTGGCTTTTTGACTTGTCCGAAGCAGGTTGTTAGAGTTGTCCAAAATCCTTGGATGCCAATAGACGTTTCGTGAGATTGAGACACCACGAATGAAAAGGTGAGATACTAGAAAAGATATCATGATACCGTGTAATAATCTTATTTGTAACGTCTAATCGTATAAACATTAGACCTAATATTATATGTATATATAATACTTATAGATTGAAAATATCATTAATAATATTATACATGATAATAAAGAAAAGTTTTTCGAACTCATTTACATATAATTAGTTTATAATTATATTATTTATTATTCTAAAAATATTTACATGTGCATAACTACTTATTTTTTACATATTTATTACAATATTTATAAATTAGGTTGATACGGATTTACAATGAAATTAACGTGATTGGCTGAAGATAAATAAAAAGTAACTATTATAGGACCGTCGATTACAGTGGGAACTTATTGATTTGAAGAGAATGCGAAAGATGACATCATCACTCCGTTGAAAGTAACCGAGTTTATTACAGCATCTACACTCCACGTAGTGCCGGAGAATACCATAGATATGATTTAAGGAAAAGGGCTCAGAATCGCTGGAAAATCCATCTATATATATATATATACATATATATATATATATATATATATATATATTTATTTATTTATAAATTAATTACATATTTTAAATAAGAAACATAAAGAGTGAGAACAATTATCCAATAAATATCAACAATTACATAATATGCATAGAAATATTTAATACTAATAAATATATATTAATCCTTCCAGATATAAAAATTTGAATTATACTTGTAGTGACTAGTCAAGATAAATGAACATTATAATAACAATTAACTAAAAGTTATTTCATCTTAACTTTTTTACTCATTTAAATCCCCAAGGTAACCCTCCAACTATAAATTAATTCAATCTTTCATTCTTATGGCCATAGAATAATTTTATCTTTATAAATGCATGATGACAAAATGAGTTTAAGATATTTTAACAAAACTATATTATAGTTATTATTAATATAAAAATACTTGAACTAAATTACATAAATAGAATGTATTAAGGAATATTAATCAAATAATTGACATTGATAAATATCATAAAATAATTAAACAACACAAACTAGGAACATTTCATTAATTATTAAAAGTAAAAAATATTATAGATTAAGCAAGTAAATAAGAGCAACTCCAATGGGAGTTGCTTGTCCTATGAAGCAACTCAATCCCCGGTTTCTTACCATTGGAGGACTCTGACGTGGCAACATGAGTTGCTTGAAGAAGAGAGAGAGTTGCTTCCTCAAGCAACCGTTCCTTACCATATTTCAAGCAGATCTTATTAAACATATTTGAAAACGTTTCGGAAATAATAATTATGAAAATTAATTTCGTATAATGTCTATGTATTTACTATTGCTTTATTTTATTTTTAATATTTATTTATTGTGTATTTTTCTCGTAATTTATTTTCTTTCATTGTAGTGCAATTATCCTTTTTAATAAAAATTTAAAATTGGTTTATAAATGATTAGAAAAAAAATTCTAAAAGTTGAATTTCTTAAAATTTCTTACTATTGGAGTAAATTTGTGTTTGAGTTGCTTAATACTGACATGTCACACTAGGGACCACTTTTTTCATTTTTCAATGTATAAAGCAACTAAAATGAATTGCTTCCATTGGAGATGCCCTAAGGTTAGCGACACCTCACTAAGTAAATATAACATAAAATGTACAAACATAATAACATATAAAATTTTCAAAAAGATAAAAGTATCCTCCTCTTACCTCAAGAAAATGATATACCTTTGAGATACTTCAAAAGTTGTATTTTTTCTCTCTTTCTCTCTTCCTTCTCACTATTTTTCTCTCCGTAATCTTGTGTTCTTCTTTCACCAAATTTCAATTGCATGTTCCTCTTCTATCTCAAGCCTATTTATAGTATAAATTATAATGATTACTTAGTTAGCATTTGATAGAGAATTTGTGTCATTTAGTTTGATTTTTAATCCCCATTACAACTTAAGAGGATAAGATAAGAGGATAAGATGTTTGTACAACAGGAGCAGATTTTTCATTTTTTTTTACCCATTCATATTATAATCATATGTATAAAATTTTAATATAATCTCTTATATTAAACGTTTAAATTTTTTTAACAATTTTAGTTATATATATATATATATATATATATATATCATAATAATTAAAATATCATAATAAAATTAAATAATAAATATTTTAATTTTAATTTGTTGAAATATAAAAATTATAAGATATGAAAATAAGACATTTATATTTATTTATTTTAAATATGATAAAATAAAAATTTAAAATTATTATTTTAAAAATAAAATAATAATAAGAAAATTCATAATATTATATCAAAGTTTTGGAATATAAATGATGAGATGTATTAAATGCAATTAAAATAATGACATCATTAGTATTTAGGGAGCTATAAGTGGGCTGAATTCCTGCTTTGAGACTCAGTTGAAGAAAAATAATATTTTGTATTGGTGTATGTATCATTAGATGACCCTATTCTTAGACATTAGACAAAGTACAGTATATTTCGAATGTGCATATCCGAAGTTCTATATGCCCTTGCGCTTCTCAAAAAAAAAAAATAGTTCTATATGCCAAGAGGTTGACCAAAGTTAACAACTATATCTTGGTTTTGGACCTTTTGGTAAATTGCTCTGGGCTGATGAACCCAAAACATGGATTGGGTCACGAACCTGATCCGTAACAAACCTAATTTATTATAATAATTTCATATCTCAAATAATCCGTATTAAATGAAAAATATATTCTTTAATTTATTAAATGTATTTATTTGTTTAGTTAAGTGCTCCAGTATTAAAAGGAGTATAAAGGGCATTGCTGGTTACTCCAACCATTTATTGGAGTAAATTTAGATACTCGTATTATTCCCATGAACAAGATAATACACTTTCTAGAACTGTATATTTGCAATACATAGAAATTTCATGGTGTAGAAAGCGGAAATCTTTTCTTCCACCCACGTGCCGTAACTAGCAAGTTGGCTTTGCATAGTTTGAATATTTCGTTTGTCCAAAATCTCACCCTTTCTGGAAGGCAAAGTCAAATTGAACGGGGCAAGGGCAAGGAATTTCCTCACATCTTAATCGGTTGCTTTGTCACTGCCACGATGCCCACACCATCCTCGCAGTATATTATAACAAATATCGTCACTTATCCTTGACTTCAACACACTACATTAATTTTCGCAACCAGCAGCATTAGTATAAGCAACTCCTTTAAGAATTTATTTCACAAAAGTATTAATTATTCTGCACAGCTGTTGATGCTTTGTAACAGTTAGCAACTTAGCATAATTTGAGAAACGCTCGTGGAAGGTTTTTTTTTTCCGAAATAAAATTGAAATAAAGTCTTGAGGAAAGATAATTTTTTTTTTATGATAAAAAATAGCATTGGTGTACTACAAACTAGATACCTGAATTTACAATGACCATAATAGGTATGCAAATTGCATTTCCTAACACGAGTTTGACTAATGACTTCTGCAAATGTAGTTTTAACATGCAATGCCTATTTTTGGGATTTTGAGGTTACGATTACTGAGATTGAGAAGTAAAAATTGAACAAGTATGGAAAATGACACTCCCTTTTGTTGTAAGCAAAAACATGCTTCAACATCTATCAATTTCCCACACGTGCCTCATTTTACTTCTACAAAACACTCTTTAACAAAAAAAAAGTTAGCTATAAATCTAAAGGTAAAGGATTTGTCTTCCATTACTGAATTCAATGTAAAGAAGTGAAGATAACTTAATGAAAGAATTTGTGAAATGTTGGGAAATACTAAATGTCAAGACCTAGGAAATCATAACTGAAATAATGGAAAAACAACCATTTGAGCTATAGGTATGTACTGGAACACAAGTATACAGACATTTATATACCAACTAGTCAACTACTATGACAGAAATAAACTTCAATTAAGAGATGGAACTTGTGATTTCATCAAGGTGCTGGTCCATGATTTCAGAAACAGCATCCAGAAATGTGGCTTCACTAGTGCCAGGAAGAACAGAATCCAGAGCTGCTTTTACAATTCCCTCGATCACAGACTCCTTGTTCAAGGATTCTCTGCACATAAGGCTTCCTATGGCAAAGGGGGTCATGCCCCTCTCCACTCCTTTCTTCAAAAGCATGGTTGAGATTTGAAGAGTACGAGCACATTCAAGTCGCAGATCCCATCCATGAAACTTCAGAAGAGCAATATCTTCATCAGCATTCAGTGATTTTATATAGTCAATGATCTCTGGGGAGTACGGCTGGCGAGCTTGGGGCCAATAAAGCCATTCAAAGGTACAATCTTCAAACTGTTGGAACAACGAAAATCCATCAGATGATTGGTTTGAAGATTAAACAAGTTTCAAGGGAAAGGCAATATAGTAAATATCACTAAACCCCTTCCTCCAACCAAGCAAGAAAAATAATCAGTCCGTCTTTCAAAACAGGTATTTGCACCAACAAAATAATGTTTAAGGATAATTAGGTTTTGCCACTTATCAAAATATCTGCAGTCAGTGCAGTCTATCCAAGATAACCTTTGCGTAAAACACATGATAATGAGATGAGTAGCACCTGAAGACACGTCATTATGATGACATGAAGGTAGTCATGCTAGGAAAAAAACTAAATCAGCACAATTCATTATTTCCCCCTCCAAAACGAAAAAGAAAAACATTCTAAAAAGAGCTCCAGCCAATAAACATTCTCTAACTTATAAGAAACTCGATTGAATATCATATTGGGTCAGGAGCTGCCGAACTCTGCAATCTGTAAACAAAACATTTACCACCCATACAAAGCATGAGAAAAAAAAGTTTAAACATTTCACTTCAGGCAAACAAAAAAGCACCATTGCATTCATTAAAACAGAACAATTCATTTATAAAAATAAAGAGAACAACTGAACAACAAAAAAAGGTGCTTACACTTGTGGGCAAGCAGTATCCATGATCAATTGGAATCAAAACAGCCTGGTCATTTTTCTCCTCTTTTCCGATTAAAATATTCCCAGCATGTCGATCAGCATTTGCAAGTCTCATGTCCAGCACAGTAATTTTATGCACTTCCTTCACTGGGAAAGCCCCAGGGCCCATATCCTCACAACTTCCATTATTCTCCATGAACATTTGCAAGGAGCCAATCTTGGTGGTCAAGTCCCCAGGATGGTTAAATCCTTTATGCAAGCACTGAACCAGAACAGTCGGTGGAACCCCAGCAAAGCCCTTCTCATCACCAAATAATGATCGGCGGCCACTCATTGGATGGTCCAAAATATAAGCTGCAACTTCCCTAAATGCTCCCTGACCAACTCTAGTACCCTTCTTTAAACCTTCACCATCTTCTGAGAAAGGCAAACCTCTAGGGTTATTCACAGCCATTGGCTCTTCATCAATGGGCTTAAAAACAGATACATACCTTTGCCCTGTTGAATCAACCATAAAGTAAGCTCCCCCTGTACCCTCAGCAGATCTGATTGGATAATGTCCACTGTCTAACCCTTCATATGTAGAGTTAATCATATTCCAAATATCAGAAGCTAATTCAATTTTCTTGTTAACAATAACTGGCTCCAAAAGAAGATCTCTCTCAAGAGCCTTCCTCGACACAATTGGCTCGGCTCCATAATCCCTTCCTATATCTTCTTTACTAACATCATATTTTCTCCTAATATTGTTTTCACTAACATCACAATCTTTTGTATCATTCAACTCCTTTGCCACAATGGACAACTCATCTTGTCCTGTCCTAACTTCAGCATATTTCACTCTAACGAAAAGATGAATCACTGCATCATTATATTTACTGCAGATATCATCAATAAGCCTCTGATCCTCAAGCAGCTCCCCATTACACACAACTTCCTGCTTTTCAGGATCAGCAAAGCGCTTCTCCTTTTTCGCAATCTGTTGCTTAACATACCCAACATCTCTGCATCTCTCCACCTGAAAAGTAAACTCCTTGCCAGAAGAAGTTCTCACACTGATGGTCTGGAGATCTGAAAGCCTAATCACCAAATGCAGAATATTCCCTTCTGTAACCCCATAATCCTTCAGCAGAGAATTGCTCCGTGCCAGCTCCCGGCCATCACAAACCAACTTTTGCTTGTTTGTCAATGAAGGAAGCCCCTCAGCCTTTAGGATTTTGAGCTTTACCGACTCGATGGTATCGCAGGGAAGAACTCGCATTGGGGTCAAGGATCCGGAATAGGAGAGATATATGAAAATGAACTCATGATCCATGGACAAGTGCAGTGGGGTATAGTATCCATTTGGAGACAACAATAGCTCCCTTGGGACAGGGCTAAGAGTGATTACACCAGCAGATGACATTTTCAATGTTGATTAAGGGAATTTAAAAACAAAGAGCTTGAGGCTTTGGACTAAGCCTGAACCCTAATTCCTAAAAAAATTCACAACAACACAGCCATGGGATTTGTACAATTACAGCTACCTGGGGTGTGATTATGACACACACCTACCCAGATGAACAAACAACCTCAAAGACGAGACTTGAAACAAAATATGCACAACAAGGAACACTTTTTTCGACAGAAATGATGAAAAATTCCAGACCCAAGCCCTAATTTCCCATCATTTCCCCCACTAAAACGTAGAGACAAATCAGCCAGCAGAGAAAAGATATCGAATTTGGAAGCAAATCAGAAAAGGGTGAGAATCAATCGCTGGAAACTCGAGAGAGAGAGAGCAGATTCTTACCCCCGGGGAAGCAGAAAGTTTGAAGCTTTGGCAGCAATAATAGGAAAGTCCGTAATGGGGTTTCTTTAATTTGTGCTGTGAGAAGAGTATTCAATTGAATAATCGTGAAACTAGGGAAGGGTTGTTATGTTATTGTTGACTCTGACCTAAAACGAGAAGCAGGACAGAAATAGGAGAAAGAGAGAGAAAAAGAATGGATTGAAGAACAAGATAAACGCACGTAGCCGCCTGGTGTAGAGTACGATGTATTCATACTGTATACCGTACACATACACGTATAGAATTAATTATTTTTTTTGTGGGTGAGGGGGTCTTTTTGCCCTCTTCTTTCGCACACAAATCACGGAGAGGGTACCTTCCGTTACTTACACAATGAATGGACCGCGCTTTGCTTTGCTTTGCTTTGTTTCTCTCTCTCTCTCTCTCTCTTACCATTGAATTCAACATCATAACTCCTAACGTTAGCAATGACTACAAATGAAAGTGACATGCTCACTTTTTACTGTTCCACATGTCACTCACGCTTCTCTCATTAACGGTCAAGACTACTTTAATCTACACCACACCTGTTCTTCTTACATAACTGCTATCAATATATAACTCATTGTTTCGTAAATATATTTTAAGTCTTATCGATCCTAATTGTTCTAACTCACTCTAAATTAAATTGATTTAGATTGAATTTTTTTCAAATATATAACAAATAATGAGACATGCATGCCTAATCAAAACATTAATTCACTGTTTTCCAAACAATTAATTGTTGTGACATTATACACTATGCATTCTAATAAAATGAAAATTAGGTAGATATAAATTTAAAATTATAACGCCTGTCATTACATATTACATAGTTCAAATTCAAAATTTAAAGTTGAGAATAGACAAGTGTAAAAAACAAAATAGAGAGACTAGAGACACTCACTATATTTTTTTAACAAGACTAAACACTCACTTTAGCATACATTTAATATAAGTGGATTTAGAAATTTTAGACAGTGAAAATAGTACTTATTTATATATTAGTTTGTAATATTAAAAGTTTTATATATAACTTTTAAAAATATATATATATTATAATTATTTTTACAAGATTTTATATCTACAATTATAATTAAAGGTAAAAATAAATTAGGTCAAATTAGGTTATACAATAATTTAGTAGATTTAAGCCTAATTTTCGTTAAAAATACATATTTTAAATATGACATATTTATCTATTATAGACATTTCTTTAAATATTTGGTTAAATTTATAAATCAAGTTTAATTTATTTATGACATAAACATAATTTTAATATCTAATACAAACTTTTAGATAATTTATTTTAAAACATATTTTATAATAAATTCTAAACAAAACATAAATCTTACAATCTTTATTATTTTGATATTTTTTAATCAATGTATATAATAAATAGAAAATACAAAAGATAAATATGCATGTTGTAAATTTTATTTTATCCAAAATTTATTTATTAAAATTTATTAAATTATATATGTGAGCATTAA